TTCCCTAGAACCATGGAAAAGACAGAAAAAGGTTTGATTCACAGCTAACTTGCACCATTTCAGAATCGAAAACAATCACTTTCGCAACAAGTTGGTTCTATTTCCACCAATACCAGTAATTGAATCAACATAAATCATCCAAGACATCAGCAACCAGGAAAAACTATTTTCAAAACGGCAGTTTTTAAGGAGGGAAGATGGGCTCATGGAAGTAAAACAAAGAGTTCATACCTATCAAGGAAAACATCTTTGCAGCAGGAGAGTGAGTCGTAGACGCAGAGAGAGCCAATCCTTGAGGATCAAACATGTAAAAGTAGCCACCCGAAACAATAGAAAGAAGATCGCATAAGAAGTAGCAGCTGAGAAGGCCCAGGCCGTAGTTAAGAGTTTCACCCCTAATTCTCCCGGGTGAAAGATGCTGAAGACCAGAAACCTCATCCCTGTTCAAGTTAGCACCTTCCAAAATGGCCACCATAGCAGGACCTTGAAATTCACCTGTAAAAGGTTAACATGTCAAGAAGTATCGACTAGACTTCACAGTGACAGAACAAGATGACAAAGAACAAAAGCTTAAAAATCAAGAATATAAGAGATCTGGTAATAAGTACCAAAATTATGTTGCAGCAAGGACTTGCGAGCGTGCTCCCTCTTGTCAAAAATTAGGTGCAGCTTCTTAACCTTGCAGCAGTCAGCCAATTCAAGAAGGTCGAACAACACTAAGTCTTTGTCTCCGTATAATGATAGAAGCTCCTTCAGTTTCGCGAAATCCATGCAAGGGATATCTTGGGTAATATCATTGTCCACAAGGGAAATGCAACGAAGTGACTTTATACCTAACTTGTAAGCCAAGTCATTGTTGATGCTAGGATGCACAAAAGTTTTGCCAGGAAGAGAACTGTTTTCTACCCATGGTGCATCATTATAAACAAGATCCTCAAAAGGCACCAGAAATCCATCAGAATCTGGGACTAAAAGTAAATTGTCACCATAATCACACGATGTCTCAGACAAACAGTCTGCAATGGCTTCAAGAACACAATGGACAAAATCTATCTGCTCGTCCATTAACGGTGATCCTCTAAAATCATTCTGCAAGCGCTGCAGAGTGTTCAAGTAATCTGCAACGTCAAAGCTAAGTCGCACACCCAATTCGAGAAGCAATTCTCTAAAATCTGATAATTCTGAGGGGACAACATAAAAATAAGGGGTAAATTTCACCGGTGAATCAAAAGCAAGAACACCTGAAGAGACAAAATCATCTCCAATCCAGACCCAAGGAATGCCATTTAATGCTGATCTCAGAGCAGGAAAATCATTAGTCCTGATTCGTTCTTGCAAATTTGTATAGAGCAAAGGAATTTGAATTTGTAACATGGTTTCGAAATCAGGACTAACTGATGAACATGACTTCTGTTGTTTATAGGACTTGGATAACTCAACCAGTTGGTTGCACAGGATATCAATATTCAAGCAACCCGTCCACCCAAGTTTCTGATGCAGATACGAAGAGCGGCATTCCCCGTCCAGCACATGCATTGTGGCAGACACCATAAACATTTGAGATTTGGGTCTCACTCTATCTGGAGATGCCACTAAGTTAGTGGATTTGAGCCATGGAATTCCTTGTAATGGTGGATCAGGGCGAATAGGGCACCAAGGGATGGACCTAAGCTGACACCAAAAATCATCTTCTGATTGATCGGTGAACAAGATCCTCCCAAGACAGCCAGATACCATGTCATATTCAGAATCGTTTACTCTATCCGAAGAGCCACTGTCTACGTCAGTAATACACAGCATTACATTCTGAGGTTCATCATGGTTTTCTTCACATGTCTCCAAAGCACGCTTGAGAGAAAGAGATTCTATATGTAAAACTAGCCTTCTTCCATAATTCAATGCTTCTAAATCCCCCGAGTCATGTAAAATTGACACAGTTCTAGCAGCATCAAGATAACCAAAAGAATCCAGACTTGTTCTAAGTCCAAGGCCAACCAGTGCATCCAGGATCCCAGGCTCTGAAAATGTCTCCGAAGGAAAGTAGACTTCTCTGTGAAGAAGCTTTTGTAGACCAGGTATGCGAGGATCATAAAGCCTGAAAAGAGGATTATAATATGAGAACTACAGCTTGCTGTATAAAGTCTATAGAAACCAACAAAGAAAGGTTTGAGAATCGAAGTTAGCTTGGATAATATCATCATTGCAAGCAGAAATACATATTCAACATTAGTTAATCAGCATCGGAGAACAGAAAACACAACAAGTTAAGCAAACCGATAAACCTGGAGGGTTGTTGCCACAATCCATTTGAAGCGAGAACAAAAGGTGTTGAAGACAAGGCAAGTTTAATGGAAACATCCTCCGCAACAAGATCATTCAAATCATGCAAAATTGTCAAAAGAGCATCTGGCTGTGAAAGGAACTCTGACATACGGTTGAGTACACATGCCTTGTAGAATTCCGTTCTCGAGGGTTCTACGATGTTTAAGTATCTTTTGAAGATAACTCTCTCCTTCTCAGAATCTAGGCGTACAAAATCATCATCCAAAAGATCATCCCTGATACCATCAGGTTTCAGCCACTTGACTGGTCTGTTCAAACTAACGAGATTTCTATTTCTGTATGACTCAAATACAGGGAGGTGCTTGATGGTCTCAAAATGGATCTCATTCATTTGTCCTCCAGAAAACCACTTTGACTGAAGAATAAAGCTTCGAAGTTCTTGCAATTCTCCTTCGGAAGCATTACAGAAAAGCTTGTTTATGCTTTCTGGCTCACCAGAAACAGCAAGAAAAGCATTCAATATGCCAGCTGCGGTTGATGGTTGAACATATTTTTCCAACAGAGGATGTTCTATTGGAACCTCACGGTTCAAGAACTGACATCCTGTCTTCGCCAATAAAGATGACATGTTCTCACTCCAGCCATCATCTTGAATAACATTTGAGTTTTCAATTAATTGCATGAGGCAACAGTCCCCAACTGGCAATATAGGCCACTTAGAAAATATCGAGAGCTCATCGCAACACAACTTAAGATAGCTCCAAAGAACCTTTATCCATTCCACTGTAGGATGCCCTTGTTGGCCGGGGGTCCAAAGTACCTTTTTCGACAGATGCCAATCTGCTGGAAGTAGCTTAAAAAAGAGCTTCTCAAGTATATTGCAAGAGAGGAGACATATGTTTGATTCTTCACTTTGAGCTACTGCCAACAGCTTCCTGTGAACATGTTCTGGCACTTCAGAGTCAACAAGTCGGTGAGGAAGTGAATCCTTCAGAAGTTCATGCCCATTCCCTTCTGCGACAAATATTCTCTCAGCCACACCGTTTTTGTTAAAAGACGTAAATGAACCATCAGCAAGAGGTAACAGGGGTAGACCATAGAGAAGATCAGCCTGAAAGGGAACTTCTAAATCAAGCAGACAGTACTCAAGTGTCAATGTCAAACCATCTCTATCGCGAAACTCACGTTTTCGCCGGGACAACAGAGTTCTTAATAATCTAGGCGTCAGAAAATGCAAAGATGGGCAAGCATCCTTGAATCTTTCAGCAAGTGACTTTGAGATAGTGACAAGAGGGAGACCAGCATCTGCAAGGACCTCAACAAGCTCATCTGCTTTAGCAAAGTTAAAATCAGGAAGAATTGCTTGCTTGGTTGAAATCCATTGACCTCCTCTTGCTTTGGTATACAGCACACGAAGACCACAATTAGCAACAAAACTGTAGAGCTTCCGCACCAAAGATGCCCAGGGTTCCAATCCTATAGTTACTGGCCAGACAGAGAAGAACAAATCACATGGGCCAAGTTCAGACGCAATTTTTTCAAGTAAATGACCGTAGGCCGGGACAACAATTTCCTCGATCAAGTAAAGATTCCAGTCCGACCGTGTTTTGCCACCCCCAGCCATGTCATTACCAAACCAAATGTCCCTCCGGTTTGATGACAACTCAAAATATGCATTGATATGCGCTGGGAGGCCAGTACTAATGGGCAGTGGCAGAAAGCAGAAAGCACGGCCATCAAAGTTTCTTTTGTTCTGAACCGGAATCGTAGATAACTCAAATACGTCAGAAACGCCAGCAGCCGCATCATGCTTCACATTGTTAGTTTTGACAGAATTTATAAGCACAGCCACGCTAGCCCAGGGTATCAACTTGTGGGACATCTCTATAAAATTTGACTGTTTTTTACTGAAACCACCACCCAGACATTCACCAGTTATCCATCCATGAGACATACAGCCAGAAGAATCTTGTTCCGTCACCACAATTTTTTGGCATTTATATGGTAGATCTTTATCTATTGTGCTGGTTAGCTTTTTTAGCAGCTGATCTTTACTAATTCCAGCAGATCGATTTTCATCAAGAAGGCTAAAGACTTTATCTGCGGACCTTGATTCAATTTCTTGCCCAACAATGTAATCCTTGCATACGCGATGCAGTAATTGCATTTCATGACCAGTCCCTTCCTTCACAAAGATGGAGATTGTTTTCACGTTGTGCAGAAAAAGTAAAGTCTCAGAAACCACGCTAGCAAAAGAGGAGAACAGAGATAACACATCTTCAGGAGCGTATGCTTCTTTCTTTATATGGCTCCTGGAAGCAACACTAGCATTTCTAAGAGGAAACCGGAAGAGGGTACCAGGAAATGTATGCTTTAAATCACACCCAAAATGTAAGAACGGGGTAAATTGATCGGGAAACTGGTCCAAAATTTGTCTTCCTACAAATTTAATCCGCCAAAATGTAAGACCGGGGTAAATTAATCGGGAAACTGGTCCAAAATTTGTCTTCCTACAAATTTAATCCGCAAGCCTGGGTGGGAAGGAGAGATACCAGGCAAATGGTTGGCATGAGGATCAAACATAACAATGTTTTCCCCAGAAACAAATGCAGGGATATCTGTGAAATGATAAACACAGTTAAATCCCAACCCAAACCTTCCAATCGCAAAAGGTTTTTCAAGTTTGCTTGCTTGACCAATGCGGGAGATCGCATACAGATCTTGTGGAGTAAAAACCGAGTTGTTGAAGCAGTACAGAGCAGGGCCCTGCCAATCTGCCATTTCAGGAGAGAGAAGAGAAGAAGTCCCATACTGAGTTCTATCCAAAAGAAATATCACTTCAGAAGCTCCTGCATCTTCAGCATTTTGAACGAGCTCAAAAAGAATCCCAGGCCCATCAGCATACATTTCTAGTATGTGTTTAAGTCTCGTGGTCAATGCCTCGTGCTGTCCAAATGCCTCAGCAGCACCAGATAAACTCAAGTTCATTGAATCAGCACTTTCAGCCAGCAAGACTCTACGAAGTGAGCGAACACCAAGTTTTTCACCAACTTCATTAGATATGTTACCATGGACAAATTTCTGCGTTGTTCTCTTCGCATTCAGTAACATTGTAGATTCAGCATCAAACGAACTGTTGCCATTGTCTGAAGCAGCCAACCATGGAGCATCATTGAAAACCAAATCACTGGAAGGGAATAGCCGACCAGAAACATCTGGTAAGTAGATTATGACTTTGTCAAGAAACTGCGCTTCAGCTAGCTGCTGTGAAATCAGCACAGCCGCCCTGATTTCCTCGGGACCAAGAGGTGAACTACCTTTCCTTGCAGCCATTCTGCATAAGATATCAGTATAATCGGGTGGCATTAAATATTCACGAATTCCAAGCTCCAAGAATAGTCCCCTGAAAACTGCTAAGTCGGTAGGTATGACACGTACATAGGGGACCAGATGAAGAGGACCATCAAGAACCACCTCAGTTGAAGTTGCAAACCCATCACCTACCCAGATCCAACGACTACCTTCAAGTACAGCCTTTACTATGTCCATTTCATCTGAACCAACTAAGCTTGCAAGAATTGAGTATATCTGCGGCATCGCTAAAGCTAGTTCCTGTCGAAGAACCTGATCATTCAGAACTTCATTGTTCTTTCCAAGTTCAAGTAACTGAGCAGCAATTGCACTGCCTCCTGGAGGTGACAACCATCCCAGGTTATAAGCAAGCGCTGTTGAAGAACATTCACCATCCAGTATCCGCATGCTTGCAGAAACTAGCCACATGTCTGTTTTGGGGCGTACAAGCTTCGGTGGAGCGACCGTAGATGTCACAGCTGGCCAAGGTAAAGCCTGAAATGGAGCAGAAACTAAAACTGGGCACCAGCAGATCATTCTAAGATCATTCCAGAACTTTACAAGGTTACATTTCAGATTACGCGGTCTGAAGGCAGTTGCGGCTCGTGAAAATATTCTGTTTATAGCTCCATCATCTTCAGTGGACTGATCAGGAAGCCATTTCATTGCATTCACCTCTAAGTATGAAAGAAGCACTTTACCACGTGAATGTGCCTTTTCTAGATCTGTGTGCACCAGTTGCTCTACCTGTCGAGCGCTCTCTAAAACCGTCTCAGGAGAAACAGCTGTTCTAAGGCCCAAACCTTGAAGCATATCCAATATAGCAGATTCCTGGAATCCACTAGCAGGGAAACTACCTGAATCTTCCAATAAAGCATATAATTCCTCGTTGCGAGGATCATGTAAAGCAGCCGGATGTTTAAGAGTCCCGCTGACAGTTGGAACAAATTCCAAATTCCTCATATCTTCCCTGAAGCATCTGTCTTCAAGAGACAGTTGTGGAAGGTTTTGCAAAATAGAAATCATGACCTGATCACGGATCTCAGGTTGCAAAATTCCAACTCTGTCGAACACATTCAGTCTGTAGAAACTAGCTTTACCCATTCTTTCAACACCATAAAACCTCAAGAGAACATCATCTTCACTGCTAGAGGAGCCTCGAACGAACTGACATCCCAGAAGACAACCTGGCACATCCAATGGAGGTAAATACTTTGGAGGATTAACAAGATCGGAAAAGTTGTATTCTTGAGCAGAAATTCCTTCATATACACGATAAATGGGCAAAACCCTACAATTTCTGAGGTAAGAATCCCCAATTTGACGTCCTACGTGCCATTTCGGATCCAGAAGAAACCTACGAAGTTCATCCTTATCTTCAGCGGTTAAGTTATAAAGAAAGGTTTGCACTCCACCATTGTCTGGTGAGGCAATATCAAATATCGAGTCTAATACACCTTCATAACTAGCATCAGAAACAAAGGTGGGCAAATCTGAATGTTCAACTTGAAAATTATTGTCCAATATTTTGCAACCAATTTTCTCCAAAACATTTTTGACTGCAGTAGGAAGTTTCTCCACGTTAATCAATTTTGATTGCGCAGAAGCTCTGTACAAATGGCCAGATGTGGATGGAAAAATTGGCCAATCACAGAACAACAAGAGGTTCTCGCACTGTTTCTGAAGATACTGCCAGAAGATAACAAACCATGACGATGATGGATGATCTGAGTCGGAGTCTGGATACCAAGAAACCTTAACTTTGTACTTCCAATCAGCAGGTACAAGCCTAGGAAATAATTGAACTAGATTGTGGATACTGAAATTTGCAAGATTTCCTTTTGATGTCTCTGCAATGGAAGATAGCCTGCCATATACGCTTGGAGGAATGTTCCTATCAATCACTCTATCATAAACTTTCTGTAACAACAGATGCTCCAATTCATCACAGATAAAATAGGAGCCGCCTTCTGCATTTTCAGCAAAAAAGCCGAAGTCACCATTTGCCAACGGAAGAAGTGGCAGGTTGCCGGCTTGTATGCAAACACAATCATCTGTCAGATCTTCCAGGCAATATTCCAATAATACGACCTTGCAATATTTCTTCAAATTTGAAACATTTTTGCATTCTTTGAGAAAGTTACGAACTGAATCTGGAGTAACAACTTTCTGAAGAAAAAACGACTGATGTTTCAAAAGCATATCGAAAACAGGTTTCGGCAGATGCACGAGAGGCATTCCAAGCTGCAGTAAGGCATCTCTGAGTTCTTTGCTCTTTGAGAAATCATCGTCATGAAGGAAAGCTTCAGAAGGAGACACCCATTTTCCCCCTTGGAGATCTGAAAACAGTACAGGAGAGTTGCTGATGTTTTTGTAAATATGCTCAACCAAAATGCTCCATGGTTCTTCAAAAGATCCACTTGGCCATATTGAATAGTAAGAATCTTTGGAATCCAGCACTCCTCTCAAACAAAGCAGCAATTGTGCAAAGGTGGGAGCGACCACGTCTTCCAGAAGAAGCCTATTCCAGGCTGAACGAACTTTTCCACTCCTGTCCATGTCTTCTCCATACCAAATGCCACGGCGGTTTGATGAGACCTCAAAGTATCCATTGATTTGTACACTCAACCCAGTTCGTACAGGCAACGGGAGAAAGCAGAAAGCCTGTCCCAGCTTTAGCAAATTGTTCTGTTCAAACCATAAGAAGCCCAAGTTAAGAATAAAATTTTCAAAAGGAAGAGAACAAAATTTCAACCAAAAAACAGATTAAAAAACTTCCTTCAAATTATAAACTAATAAGTAATGAAGAAGCATGCAGAAGAAATTTATGAAATTCCCAGGATAACGAAAAATGATACAACCAAAAGCATGCAAAAGCACACATCATATATAGATAACGGTCAAAATTTCGAAATGCTAAGAAAGATAAGTGATATGTCCCAAAATCTCAAATGGCTCGAGAGGATGACATGATGTAACTGTAAGTTTCACCAAAGGTAACGTATTGTGTTTAACAAAAAGAATACTAATAGATCCACAGAGAAAGAAAAGTATTTTTAAGTATGCAAACCAATATATCAAATATTAACCGATATCAACACATACCAAAACACACTACCTAGAAGACATGCACACAGATGTATGACATATTACATATTACATATTTTTAATATCTACCAATATCAACACACCAAAACATATTATCTGGTCGGGCAGGCACACATACGTATGAAATATGGAGAAGCAAAATGAACATAAAAAATGATTATAGAGCCGAACAACAGAAAATCCAGATACGAATAGCAAGAAAGGAACAATAAACATTTGCAGAATCGCACAGTACATCTGATGAATCATCTGAAATGCATGCTGCAACTGAAGCCCATGGTAGCAAGTGAATATCATATTCTTTGGATGCAGTAGCCGCAAAAAGACCAATTCTGCTAGATGACGATGCCATTGTCTGAACTATGTAAAATCTGTCCTTCCTCCGACTATTCTGGCTTCCAGTTTCATGGTCGTTCAAGAAGTCCAGAGTAAACGAATCCATCTCCTTATCTCCAGAAATTGATGTCTTTGACAGTCTAAAAACTGTCTGTCTATGCCATATGATATCATCATTTGGTGAGCTAACCGAGCATGAATAAAGTCTTTTTGGCTCTGGATCTCCAGCATCCCATGTATATATTTCAATCGATAATACACATTTGAGAAAGAGCAATGAGAAAATCCCTTCCTCGAACAATTGTTCAAACATCAAAGAAATGTCAGCTTCAAAATAGGCTTGCCTTGAAAGCCTACTAGTCGCTGCCTGCTCCGAACTCCTCAACGGGAAACGGAATAAAGTACCACGAAAAGGGTTTTTCATGTCACAGCCAAAGACACAATATGGAGAAAACTGGTCCTTATACTGCAAAAGAGCTGAAGAACCGACATAATCAATTCTCTTTCCTGGATTTGCTGCAGAAATATTAGGGAGATAAGCGCCCTGGGGATCAAACAATACCACGTATTTGCCACTCACAAAAGAAGGCAGATCAGTCAAATGGTATACGGAATTGAAGCCAACCCTATAAAGATATAAGTTAGGGACATCGTATCAGAATACATTTAAGGGCCTGAAAAGTAGAAATGAGATGAAATTTACATGATGGCCAAACCCCTAAGCATGCCGAAGAATGCCAATCTATTGAATAAATAGATAAATTTCTAAGATCAACTAAGTAATATATCCAGAGCTATAAGTCCATCAATCTTAAACTCTATGTAAAGTGATCGAATTATGTCTTCAACAGCAAGTAAGCGTAGGAAACGTGAGAAATTCACGAAGAACAACCCGAATTACCCGAATCGGCCGGTCTTCCAAGCTTGTCCGTGCTTCCCTGAACCTCCAATTCTGGAGATACTGACAAAATCATCTTCGGTGAAGACGGCATCATTGAAGGCCAGAAGAGAAGGACCTTGCCACTGAGCCAAAGAGTCTGAGAGCAGAGAACCCGACCCGTGAACCCGACGGTCCAGGCAGAGACATACCCGGGTCGCTCCGGCGTCATCGGCGTTCTGAATGAGCTCCTTCAGCACGGTCGTACCCTCTGGGTAGTTCAACAGAACCTCCCGAATCCGCCGGGTCAAATCCACCTTCTGCCCGAAATCTTCGAGAAGAAGCGAATCCATCTTCGATTCCTTCTTTTCTCTGCTTCAGAAGGTCACAAGCTCTCCATTGAAGAAGGAGATGATGAGGTGGTAGGGTTCGGATCGCAAGCAAGACGCTGATCCTGTTCGGTTGCTTTGCTCGCTTGCTTGGTGAATTCAGAGCTCCGCTTCTTTATAAAATGCTAAACAATTTCCAAATTATCTCAAAAATTTTAAGCCCGGCTATTTATTAATTAATTTTCTAATTGTTAAGCCCCGATTTATTGATTAGTCAAAGCCAATAACAAATGGAATTCCCTCTAAGTGAGCCGACGGGTCTTTCTCTTCCTCGGCCCAAACAAATGATATATGGGCCGTATAGGGCCCATTGACCATAACTTCGGCTAATCTATACAACTTTCTAAAATTACGAAATTCACCTACAACTTTACTCCATATTTAAAAAAGTCCGCTTCTTTTAAATATGTTTTGTTGGTACTTTCTATTTTTAGTTATTTAGTATACATTTATATTAGACTAATCAATTATATGATATCATTACAATGATGATTATTATCATGTTATCATATGATTTTCGTTACTTTTTATGAAGATTTCCTTGCTACTTTATTACAAAATAATTATATTTAATATCTCAAACTTGGAAGCAAATTATTTAATCTCTTAAAAGTGGGCGACACATAATTGTATCGTCAACCACGTATGTGGAATGGCCAAATGGGCCATCAATGCCCAATCTTAACATCAACTGACTATATATATATATATATATATATATATCATTAATAAGTGCTGCTCGTTGTATTTGGACCGACGTTCCAACATATAATATAATAATACATAATGTACAAAGTTGTTAGACACACATAAAAGTGTATTCAGAGTAATTAAAGTTGTCATAAATACAAATTTTCATAGACAAAACCCTATTATCATCATACAAATAAAAAAATGATATTTGGGTTTATAAATTTCAAATCAAACATTAATTTGTATCGTATGAAATAAAAATTAGGAAAAAAGGTAAAAGAATTTAAAAAAAAAAAAACGATTCTTTATCAAAGGCAAAAACATCATTAGCACTATGCATTTTTTCCTGACACTGCCGTCAATGGTCGCGATGTAAAATAGATCCGGTTCGCGAACTGGCTTACGAGCCAACCCATATTTTTCCGAGTCGGGTTCAAGTATTTTGAGTCCATAAAAAAACGAGCCACACGAGCCGGGCTCATGGCGAGCTAGCCCGTCACGATCTGGGCTGGCTCGCGGACCAGAACAAATATTTTTTTTTTTAAAGTTTTAATATTTATATATATACAAATTTTATTTTTATTACATATTTAGTTTATTTTGTTTAAAATTTTAATTTTTTTTATTATATTTTAGATATTTTAGAAATATTTTAAATATTAAAATTATTTTAAAATATTTTTTAGTATTAAAATTTTATTTTTAAAATTTATATATTTAGCTCGCATACCGACTTGTTTAACTCGCAAACTAAGATGATATGGATTGGGCTGACCTATTTTTGGCTCGCTAAAAATCGGGTCGGACTGGACTGAGTTGAAAATTTTCCAGATCGGAACGAGTCGGACTAGGCTGGTCGGGCCAGTCCGTTTTACACCCCTAGTCAATGGTAGGGTGGGAGAAAATGTTTTAAAAAACGTTGAGAATACGGAGAAAAATACGTGGGAAATTTTTTTTAAGAACATTATAACTAAAAAATCAGTAAAAATATTTTTTTATATTCTTGTACAAAAATGAAATTCCTGCGGGTAAAAACATTGTTCATTTCCACGAATAAACATTATCAAATCATAAAAAAAAGTGTTAAGAGTTATGAGATTAATTTATAAAAATTGTCGATATATTAAAAGTTGAAATATATGTCTGTTGTGATATGTGCATTTGTATAAAGGTGTGGATATAATAGATCTTTGGTGAAATATATTCTTAGAAATTAAATACACTAGGATTTGTCTATAAAATAAATATTTAATTATAGTTTATATTTTTGTGTATTACTGTATTTTATATCATTCTTAGTTTATTCTTTCTATTTTGAACGTTTAAAATCTTTATCATTTCTCATTTTCCAAATGAATTTTATATTTTTAGACGTCTCAAAAATTTAATAGACATTCAAATTTCCATACGGACAAGACTATATATTTAAACATTCATATATTTTCACAAGAATACTAAATAATTTCGATATATGGAACCGAAATAAAGGCTAGCTGCCATAGTGCACTGCACGGGACAGGGGCTAAGATGTCTATCGCTAGGAGTAGCATTTTGGTGCCGTTTTTTGGAATCGAACTATATCGGATCGGAAAATACGATAGTTTTTAGAGAAAATTTACATAAATGTACCCAAAAAAACCGTCTTTGCGTTCTATACTTTTACTATTGTAATCTTTGTATTCTATACTTTTTAAGTTAAAATGACCATCATATCCTTCTATATTATTATAACCTGCAGATTTTCTGCATTTATAAAAAAATATTTGCATGAATTTCGTTTTCCTCTACATACATGAAAAAACACTTATATGGATTTTGTTTTCTTATATAAATATAGAAAAAACACTTGCAGGTTAGCAGGTGCGATAGGTGTCGTAGGTGCTAAAGATGACCTGCCGCAGGCAACAGGTCATCTGGCAGACCGTAGGTCAGCTGTCGTAGGCTGTAGATCATTTACCGCAGAGCGTAGGTCATTTTTCACAGACGCAGGTCATCTTCTACAATTTTTTTTTATAGACATTTCATCAAACACCTTATGTGCATACAAAAAATGATCAGACTATCATAGAAAAAGAAATCAACCAGAAGAGTATTTGAATACATTAGATAAACTGTAAAAAATAGAGAAGATAGAGAAAATGTTGGAGACCGCACATCATTTGCGGCAGGTCCGCAGGGCGATAGCCGCATGTCCGCAAGGCGATAGCCGTAGATCCGTAGGGCGATCGCAGGCCAAATGACCTGTCACATACCGCAGATCATTTGCGGCATATCACAGTCATCTGCCAGAGACCATAGGTTATTTAACGCATAGTGCATGTCATTTTTCACAGATCGCATGTCATCTGCCGCAGTTTTCTGATACAGATATTTCATCAAATAACTTATGTGCATGAAACAAATGATTAGAATATCACGAAAAAAAAATCAACGAGAAGAGTATTTGAATAAATTAGATAAACTATATAAAAAATAGAGAAGATAGAGAAAATATTGGAGAAAAAATAAGATCAAATAACAAAGCGTTCCGATTTCTAAAAGATAGATTGTCACAAAAAATGATCATATGAATACTATAGAAAAAGAAATGATGCAGAAGAATATTTGATTGATGAGATAAACTGTAAGAAATAGAGAATATAAAAAAAAATATTAGAGAAAACAGAAGGTCGTAATAGTAGTTATATGGTCGTAATGAGGCGTAGTCATAGTTATATGGTCATAATGAATCGTAGTGAATCGTAGTTATATGGTCGTAGTTTGTCGTAGTGAGTCGTAGTGAGTCGTAGTCGTAGTTATATGGCTGCAGGTCCGCAGGTCCGCAGAGCGATAGCCGCAGGTGCGCAGGGCGATAATCGCAGGTCCGCAGAGCGATAGTCGCAGGTGCGCAGGGCGATAGCCGCAGGTCCGCAGGTGCGCAGGGCGATAGCCATAGGTTCGTAGGTCCATAGGGCGATAGCCGCAGGTCCGTAGGTTCGCAGGGCGATAGCCGTAGGTCCATAGGTCAAATGACCTGCCGCAGACCGCAAATCATCTGCCAGAGATCATATGTCATTTAACGCATAGTGCATGTCATTTTTCATAGATCGCAGGTCATCTACCGCAGTTTTCTGGTACAGACATTTCATCAAACACCTTATGTGCATGCAAAAAAATGATCACATTATTACAGAAAAAAATCAACGAGAAGAGTATTTGATTAGATTAGATAAACTATATAAGAAATAAAGAAGATATAGAAAATATTGGAGAAAAAAGAAGATCAAATAGCAAAACTTACCGATTTTTGAAAGATAGATTATCACACAATCGTAGAGAAATACTGTAAAGGGTAGTTTGGGTATTTAGGAAAAAAAGTATATTATGCAAAAGTTGTTTTTTTTGTGAGATATTTTGCAAATTTCGTTTTTGTTTTGGTACAGTTTGCCAACTGCCCCTATTTTTTAATTGAATTATTTTAAATTTTTTAACGGTATTTTTTTAGAAAATCGAATTTTTTAAAACCGATCCGGACCTTAAAAATCCAAAAAATGAGTTTGAAAAAAAAACGGGGCGAATGAGCTAGTCCACATTTTTCGATATGGACTAAGAAAATTTAAGTCCGAACAAAATGGTCGAACAAACCAACTCATTACGAACCGAGCTCATCATAAGCCAATTCATCAAGCCCAGGAATTGACTCACGAATCATGAAAACAAAATTATTTTTTTGATAATTTTTAAAAAAGTTTTATCATTTTTCATATTTTTATTATTTTTTAAATATATTAAATATTATTTAAATATTTTAAAATTATTTTATTTAAATTTTTATTTGGTTCAGAGGTAGAGTCTCGAGTAGAACTATAAATTTTTTAATTCGAATAAAAACGGATTTAACGAGATGGGTTAGAAAATGAATTGGGTTGGAAAGAGTCGAGCATCACTATATAGAGAGATTCATGTATACGTGTAGAAATTACAACACCGACAAACAAAACTATACACCCCCGATATTTAAACCTCGTAACCCGGTTTTTACAGATTATGAATATTTCGGTCTAATTCATGATAGATTGAACATAATCATTTCACGTGATCGGAAAACCATGGTTGCGGATTTAACAAAAACCGAAATTTCTCCCTCGGTTTATTTTTTTTCCCTAAAGAGAAGGAAACAAGGTATATCACCGTTCAGACATAATTGATCTCCCCCAAAAAACCCTGAACCCAGACCTTCTATCTGACACAGAGACTTTCTTGTCCCGACACTCTTCGCCTTCTCCGTCAGATTCTGAGTAGATACAGACTGAGCTCAGGAGCTCCATTGCTGTCAGGGTTCATCATGTAAAAAGCTTCAGAGTCTGGCGAACCGACTACTCTCTCGAACTTGGCCCTCATGTACATCACATCTCCGGCGCCGGATTCCTCCGTCTCCGGCAGAACTCCGGCGCCCATTGAAACCATCTCGAGGGCCTTCAGTACCTTCGTCTCCTTCCCTCCGCACTCCCTCCTCGCACCGAACCCGCATTTCTTCCCGTTGCAGTACGTCCTCCACAGTGGCTCCTCCACCAGCCGCCGCGAGGGCATTCTCGTCTTTTCACCACCGCCGGCGTCTTCTTCCTTGGGCCTGTCGCACTCCAAGGCTATCCTGACGAGGCCCGAGGCCATCTCCTTCACCAATCCGCTGATCGGAGTGGCGAGCTCGACGAGGAACGCCGGAGGAGAGGTGGGGTCCTTCTGGATTGCGAAGTGGACGTGGCCGCGGCGGGATCCGAATAGGGTGCCGACGACACGGGACCCGAGCGCGGATCGGTTCCGGGAGAGGGAGGCGATGACGGAGCGGAGACGGGAGACGGCGATGGATTGGAGTTTCCTCTTGGGAGTGATTGAGGAGGAAGAGGGAGCGGGTTTAGGGTCGTGGTTTTCATGGGATCGGACTTTTCGAGTCCAATGGAAGCTGTGGTGTCTCGTGGAGGAGAAATCCTGTGATGATCCTCTCGCCATCGACCGAGCTCAGAGAGAGAGAGAGAGAGAGAGAGAGAGAGAGAGAGAGATGGGTGAAGACAGGATTTGGTCTCTTTGGGGACTTTGCGGGAGTGTGTTGCCCTTGATGTAGGTTGTGTGTGTGTGTGTGAGAGAGAGAGAGAGAGAGAGAGAGAGAGAGAGAGAGTACTGACATGAGATACAGAGAGAATGGTCCACAAGTGATTTGGGAAGACGATACGATACGAGCAAAGAAAACAGAGGGAAAAAAAGGACCAAACTACAGAGAAAAAAAAAACAGGTTTAACATATGTAATGCGACTATTGCTCCTTCATATTCGAGCATATATATATGCGCTTCATATTTGTTATAATACACACGCATATATATATATATATGATTTTAAAAAACTCGAATTTTGCATACCGACTCTAATCTTATATTCCATGCAGATGATATATGAGATTTGGTAATTGTATCAGAAAACTCGATTTTTTGGGTTCAGGTACGGATATCCATGTTATCGGTGATAAGGCAAAATACACTTTTGCTCATTTAAATTTATTTACGAAAAATAATATTATAAAATATACTTATTTTAACTGACTATTTAACTTTTTTTTACAACATTTTATCCATTTAACTTGTTATTTAATATATCTACATATAGATATAACTTTTATTCGATATAAATAGTGTTTTTTAGCTACTGCATTGTACTGGTTGACTTTGACGGTTGCAGACTTGCAGGTGTTAATCGTTGGGTAGATTTGGTATGTATCTTTTTTTATGAATTTTGAATATATTTTATATATAATTATATAGTTGAAATATTGATTTTAGATATATGGATTAAGATTGATTTTATATTTTTTTTTTGGTAAGAGAAAATCAAGAAATGACAAAAAAGAAAAAAAGAAACCGTTGAGCGAAGGGGGACAACGTGTGCATGTTCTTTCACTTTCTGTGTGGGGGTTTTGTTTAACCACAAGACTCGGATTTTGTTTTGACTAATTGCTTTTTTAAAATTCAATCTATACACAGTAAAAAGTGTGGAAAATAGTTAAATAAAAATATCTAATACATAATAAATTACTAATTAATATGGATATGGATTCTGATCTCTTACTTTAATTACATATTATGGGTTTGCATAAAATCAGGACCAATCTCCCCCCGTTATGTCTTTTGTAGTGAATTGAATCTATTAGATGATAAATAAAGAAATTTTACACCCCATTTATTGTAACAATTTGTAACACGACAAAACACAACAAAAGAAGAGAAACCAGCTTTTGTCTTTGCCATTTTCGTAATATCCTGCAGCTGTGACATTCTTCTGCTAATGTCTGATTTACATACACATATATATATATATATATATATATATATACATATACATAAATGAATTTTTTGGGTTGCTTGTTTTATATGAATGTAATGATTTATTTGTAATCGGAATGAGAATTTCAATCTGTATCTGTATCTGATCCTCTTATTGTCGGGGTGCAGAGTCCAACGCAAACCTGCGAACTCAACTCACACGTCATTATTCCAGTTTCTGTCTTTTAATGACGTCACACATCATCGATTTTATATTTCTTTTTTTTAATCATTATTACTATTTTTTATCTAAAAAAAGACTGAAATAAATAGCAACCGTTGATTCGGTCTGACCCCACTGATTAAAATCCCGAATTAAAAAAGATGACAAAACTTTGACCAGAGACTCAGACCCAAAAATAACCCCAAAAACACCCCAATTAATGAAAACACATAAATGCTTCTTTTCCAACTAATTTACAAATGAATGACAAGTACACTGTGATGTTGTAAACCATCGTATTGTAAAAATCCAACTTCCTAATTACATCTGAATCACAGTGCTTTTAGACCCAAATAAAAACAAAATTACAAGGCTAAGTAGTTGTATAAATATAAAAAAAAGGGTTCATATATCGACACAAGGAAGGCGGGGGGGGGGGGG